TACTAACTTAGGATTTGCTTTCTATCATTAAAATAGAGAACAGCATTATTTTACCCATCTTCTTCCTAATAGGGATCATAATATCCCATTAATTCTTCAAAAATTTTTAGTGTGCCCTAGATTTAACGATATTGGGAAACTAAACAACAATCCATAAAATTGCCACCTTTCTTCTTCCGGTCAGATCTAATGATTTTGACTGGTCAGAGAGGGCTGCCCTCTAGAGGCCTGATCAGATACACAGAATTGTCTTCAAGGGATTGTCAGAGAAGAGACATGAATGTGAATCATCACTTCAGGCTGATGAAAGCAATCATATTCATTGCCTAAGAACATAAAATCATTTCATTGTAATCTTTTTGTTACAGATAAAGCAAGAAATATAAAAGCAGGAAGTTCCATCTAGACCAGAAGTAGATAAGGTATGGTAAGGCTTTCTCCATGTTTTAAAAGGAAAAGCAACTTTAAACCATGGAGTTAATCCACACATGATCCAAACTTTACCCAGTTTTGATTTATTAGCACACTGCCAGGATTATAGCACTGTTATCCTAAACTGAGCAACTATAACTGTCAGAGGTGCATTCAACAGAGCAAGTCACTCACTAATCATAACAGCTCGCCCTTTGGGATCCACAGCTAAGAACTGGCCAGGAACAATACGGCGGCATCCACTCTTGCCAAAGGTCTCTTGGTGAATTTTCTCAAACATATTCTTAGATGGCTGGTATTCCAGGATAACAATCCGACCCGAATCACTGCCAACCACAATGTAGTCTTTGGTGCCACCTGTCAGCCTAAAGGCCATGAGTGACCGAATAACACCAAATACTTCCACAGTTAGTAGGGTGTGTACTTTGCCAGTATTGGGATCCGGGCGAAGCAGCTCCAAAATCTTCCCACGAGAAACAACAATTTCCTGTTGTTTGGTTCCTAGATTGCCAAAAAATAAAGATCATGAAAAATCAGAACTACTCTAAAAAGTAACCTGGATGAGTCAAAATGCCACTTAACACAGATATAATTAAATGGGTTGGGGGCTCAGTATTTGAAATTAATTTATTCCATTTAAACTGATATAACAAAAATGGTATCAAATGTTTTTTTAAGTGTTACACAAGTTACTGCTTAGAAATTTTATTTTTCTAACATTTGCCATCAATCTGCATAACTGAGCACTATCCATAAATGGTATTAATGTATGCTTAGCATCATAAGATTAAAAATTTCCAAAGTCTCTTTCTAGTCCCTCTTTAAGGCTATTGTTCTAAGAAATCATATTACTATTTTGTGCAGTTCGATGTAGTATCTCAAAGAACTTTTAAAACTCTCATCTAAAATATACTGTTTTTTTCTAAACTCATCTAAAAAAGTTCACTTGCTTTCATAACTGCTATTAATACCTCCAAATGCATAATAGTCAACATACTTCCACCTGGATGAGTTGTCATCATCTTTAATCTAAATGTTTAAAATAACTAAGTTCTTCTTTGCCCAAACTCTCTCTTTGGTCTCAACTAACCTGCTTTAATATTACTATGATTTTCTCTGCCACAGAGGTTGGAAACTCATATCTTTTACTTTCTTTCTATCCCCACTGTAAGGTCTTCACTATCTTAATGGCTTCCTATCCTATATCCGACTCTTACCCATCCCAATCCATTCTCATTGCTCAATGCCACCACTTATCAGGAGCCACCTTACTTGCCAAAGGTCATTTGGGTATCAGATAAAGTACTCCAAAGTGCTTGGAAGCTATAAAGCATTTTAGGAATTAATGTTCTCTAATGATTACAAATTTCCAAATCTAAAAAATATAAAGCATAAAACTAGCAATATTAAAAATACTATATTCAGAAAGATAGTAACTGGACAACTTACCAGAGAAGTTGCCATGAATGGCAAAGCTGATACCAGTGGCTCGCTGCAACGTCAAGTTGTACAGGAACATGGTGACAACACCACTGAGTAACCCACCACTCCACAATCCACGCACTGATTACACCAAGTCAAAGCAAGCTAAGAGCACACAAAAACAGAAAAATATCAACTGGGAAATTGTTTATTTCTATACAGGAAGTTGTGGCTGAATGCAGCAGAAAGAGGACAGTAAGGACTATGGGGGAACAATATATTCATAATTAAAGTGCCTTCTATTCACCAGACACTATATATTCTTTGCCTCTAATCTCACCAGAAACCTATAAAGTACTTAATATTAAAACTCATTTTGTAGGTGAGGAAATTAAGGCTAAGAAATTCAATCATATATCCGAGGTCACATTACAAGAGGTAAAAATGTTGGAAGCTAGGATCTGGACCATTAATGCAACACCATGTATTTGCTCTTTGTCACAGAAACCAGGTCTACTTTTACTTGTAGTTGAACAGGGTATGTGTTCACAAGGTTCAGAACACAAAAGCACAGCAAAAAGCCCTCCACTCTCCCATTCCCTAGCCATCCAGCTCACTCTCTGGGGAAAGCAACAAAGTTATAGCTATCCTGTCCTTCCAAATATTTTGTGTATGAAGCAAAAATGTACCGTATTTTATCTCATTTTTTAAAAGTAAAGGTTGAGTACTATATATTGTACACTCACATTATACCGCAATTTATCTATGTTGAAGATAACTAAAAAGGGCTTTCTCGTTTTTATTTTACATTTGCAGAGTATTTCACTGAATGGGTATATTAGAATTCACTTAGCCAATACCCTGCTGATAAACATTTAGGCTGTTCCCAATCTTGCTATTATGATCATGGCTGTAAAGAAAATCACTCATATGAAGGTCACTTATATGTGCATGAATATATCTCTACCATTAATTCAAAGAAGTGAAATTGCTGGATTGAAGGATTCATACAACTGAAAATTGGATGACTAGTGGCCAATTAACTTTCAAAAAAACTCACCAATTAAATTCCCAAAAACGTATGAGTCCCTATTTCACTATAACCAGACCTCTGTGATCATCTAACATATAAAAATTAGTAACTTACTTAGGGTGGTTCTCACTTGCATCTCTTATATAGCTCTATGCCTTAGGAGTGATTAGAATTTAAAATCACTAAATCTAAAACAAAATCAAATTCCTTCCACTTCGTAAGGCCTCCCTAAAGGAGTACAATGAAGGGAGTTTTTATCACCATACTAGAGGCCTGGTGCACAAAATTCATGCATGGGTAGGGTCCCCAGGCCTGGCCTGTGCCCTCTTGCAGGCGGACATTCCCCGAGAGGTCCTGAACTGTGAGAGGGTGCAGGCCAGGCTGAGGGATGCCCTTCTTCCCCCCCCTCCCCCCACACCCCGCACAAATTTTATGCACTGGGCCTCTAGTCATTGATGTTTCTCTATGAAATTAATTTAAAAATTATTTTTTTAAAAGTAGCGATCGTAAATCTTAAAAACACTCAAGTCTCTGTTCACACTGGCATCTTCCTCTAGTCATAAAACTTCATTGAAACAATTTCAATGTTGCAGGTATCAACAACAAATTTCATAATGAAACCCCTATCACGTTATCGTTAACGTGATCCATGCTGTAAGATTAGCCATATTAAAGGTAAAAAATTGATTTTGTGCAGAACCGGTTTGGCTCAGTGGATAGAGCCTCGGCCTGCAGACTGGGGGGTCCCGGGTTCAATTCTGTTCAAGGGCATGTACCTTGGTTGGGGGCACATCCCCCGTGGGGGCCGTGCAGGAGGCAGCTGATCGATTTCTCTCAGTGATGTTTCTAATTCTCTCTCTCTATCCCTCTCCCTTCTTCTCTGTAAAAAAATCAATAAAATACATTTTTTTTAAAAAAAATTGATTTTGTGTTGTTGTTTTAACTGGTGGAGGAAACCACGGGCCACTTTTGATCCCCCCCCCCCCCCCCCAAACACACTCCCCCCCCCCCCCCCCCCGAAAAGCTCCGTCCAGGCTGCTTTTCATTCATAGATGAAGAACCCGCCTACTCTCAAGTTCCTTTGTAACTGACCCCATCCGTTCCTGTCCTTGGGATTCACCTTCCCCCAAACCTACGCCTTCCCCTGGGGGGTGGAGAAACGTGCATTTCGGAGGAAGATCAGCCTACAACTGCAATAACCACGCACCAGGAGCCATCCCGGGCGAAAACCCTGTCTGATTTACTAGAAAAACAGCCTGCGATCGCTCACTCCATCCCTTCTCACGTGCCGAACGAACGCCGCCCGCTCTTCAACGCTGCAGTCTTCCAGGTCGACACCATTGCCCATTTTGCAAATGACAAAAACTGAAGATCAGGGGAGGAAACACGCTGACCAAGGGCCCAAGTGCAATTCAAAACAGCGTCTTCGCTCCGAAGACTGTTTCCGTTATTTACTCTGTTCAGCACGTTAGGGTGTTTTTTTCCCCCCACCTTCGCGCACAAATGCTGTTTACTGTCTCCAGGAGGAGACCTCCCTCCCGCCCTTCCTCACAGCTCCCCCAAACCCTAAGAGCACCAAGGCCTAAAAGCTAGGCAACCCCTACGGGCTTATTTTTAGCCAGGTCTCTTGCCCACCTTGTAGACAGAAACAGGGAACGATTCCTGGCAGCCGTTTTCACGTCCCAAGCGTTCCTGTCGACCTCTCGTTTCTTGCCCGAATCCCCTGACCTCGGCTGCCGCACCGAGAACCGGCGCACACTGCTATATGGCCGCTCTACGCCTCTGTGGGCCGGGGGGAGACGGGGGGGCTGCTCCTTTACCCTGCAGCCGGGAAGATGGTGTAGATATCCAACGGATGCAGAGTTCCTTCCAGGCCTAAGCCACCGTCAACGCCGACACGCCGGCAGCCGCCATTAGCTCTCAATATGAGGACCTTCCGGTTAGCGCGCGGTGGAATAAGGCCCCCCCGGCGCCTGAAGGATGTATATATATATTTTATAACTCATCGGTCTTACAGCCACCCAGTACTGAAAATTATTTCAACATACCTTATGCCTGTCGCTTTTTCCAGAAGTCTAGAACATGAAAAGACTTTTGAAAGTAAACATTTAAAAAAAATCCGTTTCTCGGGCACTTCCGTAGGCAGCCCCACATACCCGCGCGCCAACGAGGAGAGGGGCCTCGCGGGGCCGGAAACACGGACTGGGCACCAAGATGGCGGACCTCAGTTCCCCTCAGAAGCTCTTAGGGGCGCCTCCGCCGCCTGAGGGAGTGGGAGGAGGCCGTTGCTCCGAAATCTCCACCGAGCTCATTCGCTCCCTGACGGAGCTGCAGGAGCTGGAGGCTGTGTACGAACGGCTCTGCGGCGAGGAGGTGGGAGGGCCGAGCCTTTTTCCTGGAGCATCCAGGGGGAGTGGGCGTAGGAGCCGTCAGTCGGGAAATCTGGGCTGTGGGAAGCTCTCTCTTTGCCGAGGGAAACAGAAAAGCACCTAGTGGAGATGCAGGAAGTCGCTGAGT